GAACCAAGGAAACGGGGCTCCCTGGACCAGGTAGGACCTCTGGGATCAGAGGGTGGACGACAGGGAAGTAATTAGGCCAATAGATTCATCTGAAGGGAGAAATAAATCAGAGGAAGTCATATTAAACAGATGGAGATAAATGAGGTGTGAGAGAACATTGCAGAAGGAGGTTAAGTGCTCAGAAGTTGGTTTACAGCTGGAGATGAATTGTTTTAGAGTTTCTGCTGCTGCTAGCATCCTCTGCTTTCCTCCCCTTGTCCCAGCTGCCATCATCGTCCTGCACCTCATCCCCCACGCTGTCCTCCCATCCCATCCCATCCTCTTCCCTCCCTCCACCCATCTCCACACCACATACACATCCAGATCTGCACATCGCTTTGGCAAGCTGTGCCCAGCAGTTCCTCCCTTCCCCCAGCGTTGACAGGAACATGACACAGCAGCATGGCAGAGCACTCTGCAACATGCAAGCACAACCTCACACCCAACCTTTTTCCAGCTGTGTTCCTGATGCTGGCACGCTCCACGTCTCAATCACAGCATACGTACTTCGGATGTGTTGCAGGTGCTGTAGGTTACTGATTCCTTCATTTGGGTTTGAGCTACAAAGAATGTTTGGCTCCTGTCAGAAGTGACAGGAAGTGAGCAGACTGATGCTCAGATTACATCCTTTAGTGCACAAATCAGTAAAAATGGGATGTACAGTCACAAATATGAGTTGGGAATGTGTGGAAAGTCCAAGGAGAACACAAGAGGCGTCTTTTCTCCAGCTCCTAATCTGAGCTGTAGCTGAAATAGAGGCTCCCCTTGGGGGTGGCGCTGCAGCCTCTGTGACGCAGCTCCAGTGTGCTCGGCTTGCTGCAGCCTGGTTTCCACACGGCAGAAGCCACTGCTACATGTTACTGCATTTGTCCCGATGGGGCTCGGATGGAAACAGCATCTTCACGTGTTTTGTGTCTGAACACCAGGCACCGGAGCATCTCTGAGCCGCTGCGTGGTGCTGTCATGTTTTAATGCTTACGTGCAAATATCTTTTGATTGCTTGCCCACATTTATTCTAAGTATTCGTGTTTTTGTCCGACGTTGTTGCTCAAGAGAGCAGAGAGAAGCCCGAACGAGGATTATACAAGCAGCAGTGCACGCGCAAACCTACAGCTGCTGTTCTCCTCCCTGTGCATCTTTTCAGCAGTTTTAGATTTGAGGCATGACTCAGCGTGCGCGCGCACACACACACACAAACACACACACACACACACACACACACACACACACACACACACACACACACACACACACACACACACACACACACACACACACACACACACACACACACACACACACAGCACCACACCAGGGCAGGGTTGCAACAAAAGAAGAGGTGCAAAAGTAAAAGTGAGACAGAAAAGATCCAAGAAATTAAACTTTACTAAGAAATATTTACATATACACATATATGTATATACATATATATGTATATATATATATATATATATATATATATATATATATATATATGTATATATATATATATATATATATATATATAAATGGCTCCAAGAGAGAAAAGAGGTTAAGATGTGGTAGACAGATAAATCAACAGGACGGAGTTAATGTGATGTGAAATCTGTATTCCTAGCAAATTGTGTGTGTGTGTGTGTGTGTGTGTGTGTGTGTGTGTGTGTGTGTGTGTAATAGTGACTGGCACAGAACTGAACCACTTGTGTATCGTGTCATAATCATGGTGGAGCAGTGGTTAGCACTGTTGCCTCGCAGCACGAAGGTTGCAGGTTCGAAACTCGGCTGAGGCCTTTCTGCGTGGAGTTGCGTGTTCTCCCCATGCATGCGTGGGTTTCCTCCGGGTACTCCGGTTTCCCCCACGGATCACAACATGCCCTATAGGTTATAAACTGTAAGTCGCTTTGGATAAAAGCGTCTGCTAAATAAATAAACATAAACATAATCAGGAAGTGGATTGAGGTCCCCGTGGCGACAGCCTCCATGACGACAGGCACATCTTCTAATGTTTGGTTTTCTGTTCAGTCGTTAGATTCAGATGAACGGGTTCTTGGTCTTTTTTACTGAACCGACTGGACCCACTCCATTCCGTGCTACTTCATCCCAGTCATTCCCATTTCCTGGGGACAGCAGGAGCACGCGTGGTCAGAATGAAGCTTTATAACCAACAGCAGTCCACATCTAAGCAAATATTAAAAACATCTTTTATTAGAATAATTTGTTGAAATATCTGTTTTAATGTCTTATTAAAACAAAATGTTATCTTTCTCTTCATGTCTTAATGTTGTTGAATCCGTCTCACGATTCTAGTAAAATCATCTTAGATCTGGTTTTCTTTCCCATTTAAACACGAATCCTTTTGTTCCGTTATCTGAAAGGTTTCCTTTTCTTTTCCAGACATGACCAGACACCCATCTACCGACTCTACTCCGAGCGACAGCAGCCTCTCCCCCAGCGACACCGGTTCCAGCCCCTCTCCCAGTACTCCACAGAAGCTTCTCCCAGCATGCACTTCTCCGTTTGGACCGCGACTCTTCCGCATGAAACCCGGCTCGTCTGGTACTCCACGGCCGCAGCCGGAAGGCTCCGATCGTCGCAGCAACTCAACGAGACTGTCGGGGAAGTTGGGAGGTCATGGTCCGTGCGGTCGCCTCATTCCCGTGAAGATGGAGAGAATAAAGGTGGGCATGTTTGTGCTTTTACTGTCCTCCAGCAGGTGCGCTTTAATGCTCACCCGTCTACGTCTGCTGCGTTACTCACAGGTTCTGACCGGTTCTGAGGTAGAGAGCGACTATCAGGAGCCACAGACCATGGACACTCGAGTGGTGATGGGAGAGGAGACGCTGCTCAAAACGACAGAGCTCCAGAAGGGGAGTCGTCTCGCTCAGCCCAGTGCCGCGGCCATCCCGTTGCCTTGTTCTGGCGTTCTGGCACAAACAGAACAGACGCCGCTGGAGGCCGCCGAGGAGGACATCCAGTCACAATTCCCTCAGAAAACAGAGAGTCAGGAACATGCTCGTCCTTTTGCTCCTTCTTCTCCAGAAGCAGTCACACCAGACGACACGTTAACACACAACAACGAAGACAAGCAGACTCGAGAAGTGCCGACGCTCTCCTTCTCAGAGCTTCCATCTCCCGCGGCTTGGTCCTTCTCTGAGCCGGCCTACACCGTTGACCCCCTACGGGTCGGTGTTCCCTCGCCTCTCGACCCAGACCTTTACCTTACTGCCCCTTCCACCCCGACCAAAGAGACAACCCGCTCCTCTCATCTTAAACACCATTCCTATCCTGGCTCTCCAGCCTCTCCTGGCTCGCCCTCTGACAGCGAGGACCTCTGCTCTCCTCTCACTTCTCCTTCTGGTTCTTACATCACAGCAGAAGGAGGAAGCTGGACATCTTCCTACACATCCTCCACCTCTCCCTCCACTTCTCCCAACCTGCTCCTCACAGAAGAAGCACAAGAGGCCCCAGCTTGCTTTGTGGGGTCCTTATCAGAGATCGGAGATGAGGTTGGGGAAGAAAAGGGACGAGTAAGATCAGAGCGGGAGGGGGACAGGGCCGGGGACTTCTGCTTGTACCGAATGGAGGAGTTTGTCTCGAGTTCTCCGAGTCCAGAAGAGGACGACGCTCTGAAGAGGGAGCAGACTGTTTCCAGAGTAACGAGTCGTCCTTATTGGGCGACGGAGAATACGTCTCCAGGACAGAGCAGCAGCAGCAGTGACTCCCAGGAGGATGGGAGGGGGTGGGAAAGTTCCCTCTGCCCACTGGAAGAGGCCTGTGTTGGGAAAGATGAGTTCTCCGGACCCGTGCAGACGGGCCTGAGGCTGCAGCTGGCTGCCTGTGTAGCAGACCAGCATTATGGGCAGACGGATGCCCACCCAGACGCCGCCCCCCCCTCTGCCTTGACTCCTGACTCAGAACACACGCCCATGGCCTCGTCGAGCCTGAGCCCTGACTCGCCGCTCCTCGCCCTGGATGCCTTCTGTCCCGGAGCCTTTGACAGGCTTGGCCCGAGCTCTTTTATATTCTCCCGGGCGGCTTGTGCTGATGACGTCCCGGACGAGGAAAGGATGATCCCTGCCTCCCTCATCTCCTTCCCCCTTCACACCAACTTAATCTTTAGGGCCGATTCCATGGAGATCACCCTCTTCCCCACGGAGGAAGAAGCTGAAACAGAAGTCAATGACCACAGTGGAGGGGGGGATGCTGATGCATACGCAGCTGGGGAGGAGGAAGCAGATGTGGAGGATGATGATGACGACGAAGAGGATGATGACTGTTATGAGTATGGGGATGGCAATGCTGAGGCTGCTCCTAATAGGGACGAAGGTGAGGAAAAACAAGAGAAGAGCGATGAGGCTGGAGACGATGCTAAAGTAGAGCTGAAAGTGGTGGAGGAGGAAGAGCAGGAAGATGATGATGAAGACGACAGTGACAGCAAAAGTGAGGAAGATCCTACAGATGAGGACAGCTCAGCATCCTTTCTTCATTCGCTCTCAGAAACATCCATGAACGAGGGCCTGGACGACTCCTTCTGTTTTCAAGATGACTCGGATGACTCGTTAGATTCTGCCTCCTATAACGGCGAGGAAGACGAGCGTCTGTACAGCACAGAGAGGCACGCACAATCTCTGGAACCCCTATCATCTGATGGACTCGATCCGAGCGACACCCAATCAGGAGCTGAACAAAGTCCGTGCCAACCCGAGCCTTCGCACACACAGCCGGGCACGGGCGAGCAAGCAGATCCCAGCCCAGCTCTCTCTCGCTCTGAGACTTCTGTGGGTCGACCTGAAGGCAACAGAAGAGAGCCAGAACCTCCCGGATCCCACCCAGACCAGGGCGTTGAAGCAACCAGTGAACCTGTGGAGCACCAGGAACCACCTCAAGCTTTAGATGGAAACGCCCGTCAACTAGAGTCCCACAAACCCCAGGATGAGAGAGGGGAGAGCAGCGGCAGGACGGGCGATGCTCGTTCCTCAAACCCCTCGGAGGAGCCTCCTTATCTGCTGATCCACGCAGCACCCATTCCTGCCCCTGGGTCCGGAGACGTAGCGCACACGGACACGTCTGTGCAGGGAACACCAGACTCGAACTGTTCAGTCAGTCTAACAGAGTTACCAGAAGAAGAGCACACACAGGTGAGACCTGCACCAGAACCTGAGCGAGACTCTTTCAAACTGCTCATCAAGCCTCGCCACGGCCCCGCGGAGAGCCGCAGGACAGTCGGGGCGACTCGAGTTGCACTGTCTAAGTCTTTCTCCGTTAGGTTAGATGTGCCTGCAGGGGGGCCTTCCCAGTGTGGGCGTGGCATGAGCAGCGACTCTGATGTGGAGCTTGACCCGAGCAAGGCTTCAGCTGAGTCTGTCGGTGCAGAACACAGAACCAGTGATTCTGGTCCCCCCGCTGAAACCGTCACTCCAACCAACGATTTAAACAAAGGGGTTCTTCTTCTGTCCTGCCCTAAAGAGCAAAGCCCCAACCCCAGCAACATCCCCATGTCCGCTTCCCCAGAAGTCTCGTCTGAACTCGCCAACAACTTAGCCCTCACCCCTGAACACTGTCCTGGTGACCCCGCCCAGGAGAACCTCAGGGAGGTCCTAGGAGCTGTTGGATCCACTCACTCTCCCCTTGCCATCTCACCCAAAAGAGAAAACTCGGAGACGATCCCGAGCAGAGAGACGGGTCCGGAAGCTGGGGCCTGGTGTGACGCCAGACTGGGGCTGGGCTTTGGTTTGGGGTTTGGGTCGGTGAGTGAGTTTGGTGTCTGGGGAGCCGGAGAATCGCTGTCTTTGTCTCTAGGCAACAGATACGAGTTTGAGGCAGAGAGTTTGCTCATGTGTGATGTAGCGGGTCAAAGGTCAGAGGAGGCTCTGGCCCCCAATCTGAGCAGCGACATTTGTGAGAATTACAACAATGTTCTGGGTTCTATCCTCGACGAGGAAGACAACAACAGTCTGAGTGGAAAGGCAGAGGAGAAAGAGTTGGTGGAAGAGGATGTTTCTGAGTCCAACATGGCCTACTGGCCCAAATCCACCAGGGAGGTCAGAGAGGGAGGATCAGAGGACGGCAGCATCTCCAGGATCCCTGAAGACAACGTTAGTAATCTGAATCCAGCCGATGATGATGATGATGATGGGAAAGACCCTGCTTCTGTGTTCGGGAGTCTCAACGCTCTGTCAGACGAAATGAGACACCAGAGTGGGAATTTTAGTGTCAGAGAATCCGTGTCTAACATCCCACTGGAAGAGATGCCGCCCCCAGGTTCAAACAGGACCGTCGACGAGGAACCAGAACCTTCACGAGGCCACACGAACCACACAACAGACACAAAACACACAGAGGCTTTGAACAATCACGGCCGTGGCAACGTAGATGCTGCTGCGAGCGCTCCAAACGACGCTGAGCCAAAAAGCCGTTCGCCTCCAGAGTACCGGGCAGTCTCTCCAGAGAGGGACGCGTTTTCTCTGCCGCCGGGGTCGTTCGGATCCTTCACTCCTGCTGCTGTTAGACCGAGGAGCACGTGTGAAACCGAGGGGGACGCTGCAGGAAGGGCGCAGCTTCAGACAGAAAGCCAAAGAGAACGGGACGTCAGTGTAAAAACAGACCGACCTGCTGGTGAACCAAAGACTGAAGATGCCTTCACTGACCAGCGTTGTGTCTGTAACTCAGGGCAGGAGGAAAACGACTCGAGGACTGGGAAAGAAAAGACCCCCTTTGCTGCACCTGATGACTCGGAGCACTTTCAGGTCGGACCTGCTTCACAAGCTGCTGCAGCAAAAGGGAGAAGACGAAAGCCAAACAAACACAGGGCGTCTCAGGCAGGAAGCCGCTCAGACTTGAGTCCTGAGTCTGTGGATGACCTGAAGAACGCCCCGGGTCGCCTCAAAACAACGAAGGACCGTTGTTCAGAGGGGACTGCAGGTAGTTCTGAAACTAGGACAGGAAACGATGCCAACAACAACTTTTCACTGCCAGCGTTCCAACGGAGAATACCCGGACCAGGTCAGGACGAGGGGCGCGACGCTCCCGAGTCTGACGTCAAAAATCCAACTCAAGGACGGTGTGATCCCACCAGGAGCGCTCAGCACAACCTCAACACCGCAGCGGCAACGAGTCCAGGTCCACATCAGATTCAGGAGGTGCTTGATAACAGACCCGCTACTCAGAGGGACATTAATGACAACATCGACCTCAACACACCCGCCCCGATCCCCACGTCACACGCCATGACTCCTTCTCCTCCCACCGCCTCTACTACTTCATCCTCACCGTTCGTCTCAACGGAGCCGATGGACGGTCTGTCCACGCCCGTCCAGGAATCCCAGCCCGCCCTTCCAGCACAGCAGCAGTCTACTTTGTCCCTGTGTCGCACCCCCCCTGCCCTTTTCTCCACTCCCCCCACAACACAGCAATCTCCTGGTTCAGGATTTTTCCACAACCTCCAAGAGGTCACCGACAGCTGTTCTCGCTCAAGTGTCACCTCCTCTTCATCGCCCACTGCCGTGCCGCTGATCCTGTCCCAAGCAACCCAAGAGACAGGCACTCTGGTGTGTGTCCCAGACTCGTGTTCCCATCCCTATTCTCAGTCTTATTCACCGTCTCGGACTGTCGTTCAGTCTCACAGACAAGTCAGGCAAGGACACGCCGGGGTGGGTCAAGACCAGCATAAAGGTGAGTAAGGAATGGTCCGAGCCGGGTTCCCATCAGCAAAAACCAAATCTGTGGAAGGCTCAATAAGGATTTTTTCTCTTGTTTCTGTGCAAGGTGCTGGCAGGGCCGAGGCAGACTCGGGCAGAAGGGAGGATGGTGGACGGCATCAGCAGGGTCAGAGATCTCAGTCCACGGCTGCTGCAGGAGGAGGAACTGGATCCGTGCAGTCTGGTCCAGCCAATCAGCAGCAAGTCCTGCCCTTCTCCTCCCGACAACTAGCTGAGCGACAGCTGGGCTGTCCAGTGAAGCACGGCGCTTCTGAGGAGGCGGGCCTCTCTGTGACAAACAGCTGTGAGTGGTTTGTAATGCCCCGTGGATCGCAGAAATCCACCGAATTTCTCGGCCCTTTTGCGCTCCAACACTCGTTTTCTCTCTCCAGCCCTCGGATTCACCCACGCGTTAAAATAACATGTGACTTCATGTGGAGAGAGAAGTGCTGATGATCATGGACGTAATTTTGGGGGGGGGACAGGGGGGACATGTCCCCCCCACTTTTTCCAAAGTCAAGTTTTGACCCCTGCACTTTTTACCATCCAAAAACAATATTACGCTATATTAAATTGACACTGGTTGAGCTCTAGGACCAAGCGGAAAGCAACCGTTTGTGTTGAAGCCTGTTTCCCCTTAGAACATACTGTAAAGATACCCCCCCCCCGTGTCCCCCCCACTTCTAAAGTAAAAATTACGTCCTTGCTGATGACTTGTTTTTCTGTGTTTCTGGTGAACCAGGGTTAGATGACGACCATCACGGTGTTGGAGATAAATGGCATAGTTCTTTTATTCACTAAGTTATGGGATGTATCCTTGTTTAGGTTCCCTGTTGGCTTCCTGTAACGAGTCCGAGAGTGAAGGGTCAGTACCTGACGTGGAAGAGCTGGAGCCGCTGAGACCTTCAGAACCACAGGTACCGTTCTGAAGGAACAGCTCGGTATTTTCTCCTGGGCTGGTTGTCGTGAACTCGTTTCTCTGGACGATGATTTCTTTTTATCCGTCGTGGAAACTGGTCAGACGTTAGAAACGCCACATGAAACGCCCTCATGTTAGAGGATGATGACCTCGTCCATGACCCATGATGGATAAATGATGATGATTAAAGGAATACGGGAAAACTGCTCCAACCAAAGTCCAGGGGTCCGTTTTTAATTACACTAGTGAAAATAATCTGTAACGTTAAAGTTACTTTATTTAAAGTTGGTGTCCATGGAGTGATGATGTCATCAAGGAGAGGAGATTATGAACTTTGAGCTGCGTTAGCTCCCAACCCTTAAACCACACACACAAATAGTCTTGTAACTAATGGACAAGTAATGTTTTTGGTATGCTCCTGCTCAGATACACCTGATAGCTGCTGAATGATCTCCTCAGCCTTCATCAGGGTCTGCAGGAGCCGCTAATCACTCACTTTCATCAAATCTGCAGCGTTCAAGCAGAGAAATGACCAAAAGGGGAGGAGTCTTAGGCTCCCCATGCAGTTGGAATTAGCATTCAAGCTAGGTTGGCCTGTTAAGCTTGGTTTATGCTTGACACATTCACTTTCCGCTTGGTGATGCGGCTCGCGGATGGAACGCGCTTCACAACTCGCAGCGTTTATGGTTCGTGCGGCTTGTCTCTGCGGTGAGCCAATATTCTCCCAAACTGTAGGGGGCAGCATGGAGCTCTACGGCATGCATCCAACACTACACCATAGTAGAAGTAGAAATTACTGTTTACAACATGGTATTCCAGCATTTTAACAGCGTCCTCGTCTTTTCCGACAGTGCGAGCTATTTCTCTCCAAGAATTATTAACAACATGTTGATCACGGTGATCTCTGAGAGCTGAATCATACAAATGTCTGTATTTACCAACCTCTGCCATACTAGTTCCTGCCGGTCCGCCATGTTTTTCCGCGTCCGACCGTCCGCGTGGTTAGAAAATTTCCTAGGTGCGCGGTGCGGAAAGTTTGGGCCGTGCGGAGGCGCGGTGGAGGGGCGTGGTTGTTAAAATGACGCAACTTTTCCGCGCGGAGCCGTGTGGACCTCGCGGACGCGTCAAGCATAAACCGAGCTTCAAGCTGACTGTCACCTTGCAGTGCATGCTGGGAGCTGGGGTGCATTCTTGTTGATTGACAGCTCTCTTGTGGATCTATTGGTCAACGCTCTAGGTTCACACTAATGATTCATCCTGCTGTAGTGGCTGGGGGAGGGGCTTAGCGGACATATGAACCGGGTCAGAAAGTCAGACTGAAGAATTTTGGAAGTTACTAAAATCAGCTGTGGTGTTTTATAAACGGTGATAGCATCCATGCATGATCACACTTTCAGTCATTTGTTTGAAGTAAACATTGCAGATCTAATAACTGCTGATGGGACAAACTTGCAGAAAAGCAAAATATAAAATCTCAAAATAAAGTTGTTGATATTTTCTTTCAGTCCATCTCTTCTGCTGACGAAGGGCTGAACAAACCAAAGCAGAGCCGCAGTGAGAAGAAAGCACGCAAGGTCAGGCTGAAGGCCTTTTCTGACGGGATGACACGTTGGGGGTAGTGTTGGGTTTGTCTGATTATTTCCTAACTGTCCACATGTAGGCCATGTCTAAACTGGGACTGAAGCCGGTCCACGGTGTGACCAGAATCACCATCAGGAAGTCCAAAAGCATCTTGTTCGTCATCAGCAGACCGGATGTGTTCAAAAGCCCCGTATCCGACATTTATATCGTCTTTGGAGAGGCCAAGGTACGGCGTTCCTACCTTCAAGCTCTGAAACGTCTGCCACTGGTTCTTAGTCTCCTTTTCTCCACAGATTGAGGACTTATCTCAGCAGGCTCACAAAGAAGCTGCAGAGAAATTTAAGGTGCCTGTGTCCTCCTCCCCACTGGCCCCACCTGTCCCGCCCAGTCTCACCATTAAAGAGGAGAGTGAAGAGGAGGAGGAGGAAGAGGTAGAAACTGTTTAGAGTATTCCCGCAGAGCGGCCGAGTACCAGAAGAAATGTTTAGACCATTTTTTTCCTTCACATCAGGAGGACAATGGAGGTCTTGAGCAGAGAGACATCGAGCTGGTGATGGCTCAGGCCAACGTGTCACGAGCCAAGGCCGTCCGAGCGCTGAAACACAACAAGAATGACATTGTGAATGCCATCATGGTAAGGAGGACGGAGGGATGGAGGGAGGAGGAGTGGAGGGAGGACAGAGGGACAGAAGTGTGTTGCATGGATGTAGGCCTTCATGCCGTCTGCGCTGTGCTGTCTTCCCCACCAGATGGCAGCAGGAGCTAACTCAGGATCACTGAAGAGTCTGAATGTTCTTGTTTCTCTTCTCAGGAGCTGACCATGTGAGTGCGGACGTCCGATCCCCGACTCCCTCGTTCCAGCCTTTCTGAAGCCTAAAGGCTGCGTACGCCTGTGTCGCTGCTGCTGTATGTTGCATCCCACATATCTGCTAAATAAAGTCTGTTTCAGCGTGACTGAACCTGGAGTTGGACTCTTCTGAAACCCACAGAAGGAAACACGTGCTGCAGGAACGCCGTTTTCAGCAGAAGCAAATGCAGTTTTGAAGAATGAGCCAATGAGCATCAGATTTATGAATGACCACATTTGGAAGCGAAGTAAAAATGTCGTTCTTCTTTCTTTTTCACACAAATAACATTTTTATTACAGTTTCTCAACTTTATTGCACAGAACTGGTTACAGAGTGAGTCAGCGAGGCCCCGCCTGCTTCAGTCTGTGTGAATACAGCTTAAGTGTTAGGTTTCTGTTTGTTTATGCACGTTAACTTCACTTTGCTGTACTTCAGTGTGAAAAACCCACAAAAATAAACATTAATAATGGAAAACAGAATTACAAGATGAACCATGTTTAAAACCATTTCAACAGCAGTGACCTCTTACTTCTGCACTGTGCCAAATGCTAAAGTCAGGATGAAAGCACATCTTATTCTCCTAAAACCCGTACAAGATTAGCCTTTCCATCCAGGACGTGAAGCTCTCCAGAGGACTCTCCACTGGCGGGTTAATGTTTTTGTACAACAGGGATGGATTTCTCCTCAAGAGCTCGTTTTAGCCGAGAGGACGTTGGTCTCAAAGTGTCCCTGGTTGGTGATGTTCCCAGCAGGCAAATATCTGGCCACCACAAAGGAAGAACCATCTGACGCGATGGCCTTTCCAACACCCAGCTGTTTGCTGCTCTTCCACACCATGGCTGTGAAATGACCTGTGAAAGGAGCACAAAGGCAGTTGGGACGGCCAAAGAGATGGAATAAATGTGGGAGGTGTTCTGCTGAAACTGGTCTACAGCCTTCATCCCGACCCTCTCCCCAGCTTGTCTGGTGAGGAGCTGCAGCACCCCCCTGCGGCAGCTGCATGGTATCACAACTCAAACTAAATAAAAACCTGATGCAAAAATGCACGTTTTTTATGAGAAGGGAAGCCAGCAGGAACCATGTTAGCTGTGTTGATGTTAGAGGACATCAGCAGCCGCCAGGATCTGGATGCTCTGCAGCACAGCTAACCGCTAAAGGAAGCTAGCAGGTTGAAACTCCCATCAACCACTGCTTCAAACGCAAAACGATGCCTTATAGGATTATTTTATGACCCAATCATTGATTTTTGTCATGTCAAAACTAGGAATCCATCTTCAGCTTCTCATCTGGAATCAGGTTGCCAGGGCAACAGCTTAAACATGCCTGTCCTCAGATACTCCCTCCAGCTAGCCCAAACCATCTCAGTGGGCTTCTTTTGTGGTGGAGGAGAAGTGAAGCTGTCCCTGATGATGGGTGGGTCGAGCCACTCCACACAAAAAGCTCTTTTCTCCCGTTTGTGTAAAAACATCCTCGTTCTTTTGTTACGAGCCAACGCTCGTGGCCATAGGGCGGGTCTGTGGTGTCGTTGGTCAGGTAAAACCATCTGGCTTAGCGGATACGTTTGTAACCTAAATGTCGGAGGTGGAGACAAATATTTAGTTTGTAACGTTAATATTTAGCACCAACCTAAATATTTTTATCAGAGTTAAATCATTTCTTTGTAAAATAAATAGTTTGTTTGTAAAGAACATGTTTAGCTAAATATTCAACTAAAAATTAATCTTTAACTAAATATTAAACTAAATATGAAAATCAAACTAAATGTTTAGCAAATTATAAACATTAAACTAACTTGTCTGCTAAATATTACTGAATATTTATATCCAAGCTAAATTTGAGTTGGCTAATAGCACATTTAGTTTAGTAACGTATGATCGGTAAACTTTGCCTTCCAACTCAGCTCATCACAGTTGATGCTGCTTCATTCTCCCGGTCCATTCTACCCTCGCTACTGGACAAGACCATGAGATCCTTGAACGCCTTCACCTGGAGCAGTGGCTCACTTGATGTTCACTACTTCCTGTTTCCAGTAGAAGGAAAGGGCCAAATGACGCATCTATGGCAACAATTTAGGTACATAAACGACGATAGAGATGCTCTGTGTTGGTGTACTAATAGTGAAATTCTCCTTTATCGTGAGAAAAGTGCTCCAGCACCCCTGCACCATCATGACTATGTGAGGTTGTGAGAAATCGTCTGGATCATTCAGACCAGACTGGATTTGGCGTGTGGGTTCACGAGTGATGTACATGATCGGTGTGTCCCTCCAGATTCCCCTCTGACGATCGCCAAGTCAGGCAGTCAGTCACAAACCGACACCAGCACAAGACAAACAGCAAGTCCCCTGATGGCCGGGCGAGTGTGACACCGAGTAAACAGGAAACGACAAAGAAGCAGAGCAAGCGTCCGACAGACTGAGACAGAAAGGAAGAGATGGCGAGACAAAGCACACTCGTGTGAGTCTCACCAGTGCCGGAGGAGAATCCGGGGCGGCTGAAGTTGTATTTCTTCACCTCATCATACCAGCGATCTGCCACGTCCTTTCCTGCATGAGCAGCAGACAGACGAACATCACATCAGCCTAGAGGACAGTCAGATCGGTCATGTGATGTGCGTTTGAGAGGGACAAAGTCCTCCGGAGCTCAGGATGTTCATGTCGCTGTGCTTTCTGTGACCACTGAAGTGTTTTCTCAATATTTAGCCTGAGCTGAGATTTTTGGGCAGTGAGTCACGACGACTGCAGGAGGAGAAACGGACTCCAGCTGCTCAGCGACTGCCGCCAAGCGCAGCTCCGTGACTTTAGGCCTCCGAATCCAGAACATGTTTTACATTTGAGAGAAATAAAAGCAAGGCAGCTTAGACCATTTCATCCACAGAGGAACTCAGCTTTGCTTTAGCGAGATTAGCACCAACAACTGTAAATCTAATTAAAACACGAATTAAATTCAGATTGGGGAAGTTAAAGGGTGAGCAGCCACAGCGCAGCAGGAGAAACATTCGTTCGAAGGCTTATGAACACATGAAAGTTTCCAGAGTTGGGGCATGTTTGAGGTCACGAGGAAGCCGATTCCACCTGTGAGCAGCAGCAACAGCTTCACCTGTTTGGTTCTGATCCGAGGTTCTAGCCGACAGCTTAAGGATCTCAGAGCCCTGCTGGGTTGACAGGAAGGAGACCCGGCATGCCCCATGCCACTGAGGATGTATAAACTAGTAGAAGTACTTTGAAATGAATGGTGGAGTTAACTGGTAACCAGTAGAGATCCAAGAACAGGAGTGATGTGCTCGGTTCTTGTTACGACTCCAGCAGCAGCGTTCTGGAGAAGCTTCAAGGCTTTTTTAGGAAGGCGATCCCGCTGGAGGTGACTAGTGTCACTCAGGTGAGAGAAAAGAGTTTTTAGTGGATGTACCTGATTGGTCGTAGGAGGCCCACGCCAGGTTTTCTCCACAGCTCCCCCTGCTGGACTCTTCACTGTGCTTCAGGATTCTTGTACGAGAAAGGCTGTCAGCATAACTGGAGAGTGAGAAAAATCACCACAGCGCAGCATTAGTGGAGGTTATAAACACAATCTCACGTTCCTGCGGGAATACAAGCAAACACCCGTTTTTCATTTCCATGGAGACGTTTTACGTTACAGAAGAACAAGTCACGATTGTGCAACTCGAGTTGTTAGAGCAGCTTTTCATATTTCATCAGAGTGAAGCTGTGCGTTTAGTAACTTAACCCTTTCTCTACAGGAAACAGGCCAAGAGGACAGAGGGGCTTTCTCACCAGGGTTTAAGCTGTGATGGGAAAGGAAATCAGAGTGGGTTACGGATCAGACTCAAGGTGCACCCTCAGCAGTGAGATCGTCTGTGATTGGTCTACAGGTTCCAGCGATGACCACAGAGGGTTGTCACCTCGCTCATCACCAGATAACTTCACATTAACCAGAGCTAA